TATAATGAGCTTATAATTTAATTTAAAAAAATTATATCAAATATTTATATTATTTGAAAAAAAAAAAAAAACTATACTATATAATAATTATTATTAAAATATCTAAATTAAAACTACATATAATTATAACATTTTACTCTTATACAAAAATTCATTCAAATGAAAGTGTTATTTCCATAACACTAGTTTTCCCAAACATGTCTTTAATCTCTCTTTCATCTGTATACAATTTAAATACAAATTTATAATGAAAATGTAATAGCACAAAAGAAGATATTTTAAAGAATGTTGGTAACCAAACAGTTGATTGTAGCACTGACTTCCATGGAATACAATTTTCAGTTTTGGGTGAACTATCCCTTTAACACTACTGAAGTTGATTCTCAGCCTCTGGAAATTGCTAGAATCTCGATAGCTGTGTAAAATAATGGCTACAGGGTGTCTGGCTCACCGCGTCCCCCTGCTGCTGGGGGCTGGATGTGGCGGACTGACTGCTTTGCTGTTGAGGGGAGAACGTCTCCACAAAAGCCAATACTTCAACTACAAAAGCTCTCTCACCTGAAGAAGGTTCAGCGGTCGCAGTCCCGGGCTGTTGTTCAGCCCAAAAGGCCCACCTGCTGGAACAACACGAACATTTTTCTATCCACAGTAGCCACTGACAACTTATAAAAAGTCAATGATGAACATCTGACCATGCAGGGAGAGATTCACTGAGAGGTTTACCTGCTGGAGCTGCAGGCTGCATGGCAGGAAGAGCTCCAGACATGAGACCAGCAGAGGGCAGAAGTCCACTCAGGGGTATACCAGACGCCAGAGTACCAGGACTACAACCCAGCATTGGGTTAGAACCGCTCATCAGAGTCTGTGGACTGCTGTAAGAAACCACAAACAGAGGTGGTTCGTCTCTGTTTTTTCCCTTTCATATCCCCCAAAAAAAGTCACAAACATGGGTTCTTACCAAACCGGGCCAACCACGTTGATGAAGTTGAGCCCTGCGGGGTTTGTCATGACCTGTGAAGATGTGGTGCTGGACGTGGGCAGGGGAATAGTCATGACAGGCAGGGTCATCTGCTGTTGGGCGAAGGGAGTCAGCAGGGTGGGCTGCTGTGGAAGGGCGGGGTCCTGAGGGGTGGGCGTTACTGAAGGTGTGGGCACAAACTTGGGTTTCTTACCAAACCGGGCCCACCACATTGATGAAGTTGAGCCCTGCTGGGTTTGTCATGACCTGTGACGATGTGGTGCTGGACGTGGGCAGGGGAATAGTCATGACAGGCAGGGTCATCTGCTGTTGGGCGAAGGGAGTCAGCAGGGTGGGCTGCTGTGGAAGGGCGGGGTCCTGAGGGGTGGGCGTTACTGAAGGTGTGGCACACTGATTACCAAACCGGGCCCACCACATTGATGAAGTTGAGCCCTGCTGGGTTTGTCATGACCTGTGACGATGTGGTGCTGGACGTGGGCAGGGGAATAGTCATGACAGGCAGGGTCATCTGCTGTTGGGCGAAGGGAGTCAGCAGGGTGGGCTGCTGTGGAAGGGCGGGGTCCTGAGGGGTGGGCATTACTGAAGGTGTGGCACACTGAACGTCGGCGGGGTGGGGCGTTGAACACGGCGTGTTGGTGGGTGTGGGTGTGGAGGGCTTGGGAGTACCTGATCCTGTGGAGGACGGTCAGAGAAGAAAGACAAAATAAATATCTGGCTACGAAGCACTGACAGCTTCCTAGTTGTGAATGGAGGGATACTCACTCTGCATGGGCGAGAGAGCAGCAGGGGACAACAGGCCAAGCTCCATGGAGTGTTTCCGGGAGAGCGACTGATTCTTTGTGGGTGGAGGGGTCGGGCACTTGAGATGGCCGCTTGAGGCCTGTGTACTGTACGGGTTACCTAGACAAAGGGAGGGAGTGCTTGTTTGTACACTTTTTAAAGTGGCAAGACACAAACATATTGAATGAGATTGAGACATGATGGAGGTCGGACCTGAACTACATTGATCTCAAACACTGTTTTCTATTGATAATAACAAGAACTATTATTAATAACTGAGCACCAATAATAATTGATATAAGATGAACAACAAATCAGCATATCAGAATGATTTCTGAAGGATCATGTGACACTGAAGACTGGAGTTATGATGCTGAAAATTCAGCTTTGCCATCACAGGAATTCTGTTCAGAGCTGCTTGAGAATGCCTCCTAAAACACCTGCAGAGAGGAGAAACATGACATCTATCAGCGTGGAACGATGGATAACTGATATATGATGGATTCGATCATCTGCTGTTGAATTTCAGGATATCTCCGTATCAAATACAACATTTTGAAGCCTTTAACTTTGATAAACCACATGAAATAATCAGATTCTTGCACTTGACTTTAACAGGCAAAAGATCTTCAACTTAACTATTTTTTGTTAGCTGCATAGAGCAAAACCCACTCCCATTTATTTAGTCTCAACAATACAATTAGACAGCAGCGGCTTCTCAGTTCACAGATGGTGACTAAGCACAGATAAAAGATCTACACTGGGCACATGTACATAAGCTCTGTGGGTTTAAGCAATATCTTGGATGCAAAATGTTTGCAGTCACAAACAATCACACAACACACTGAGCAGCAGACGACAGGAACTCATCATAGACAGTCTGATTATGCACTTTTGGTTTAAAGACAACTGATGATCGAGCGTATGAAGCCAAACACAAGCTAAAGTGCATTACCGTTTCATGGATCGTGTGCTCATCTTCTGTTTGTTGTAGAGCAGACGGTTGGTGGTGCAGCTGACAGAGATGGAGGGGTCCAGACACAGAGGCTCCGCTGTGGCCAGAATCAACTGACTCTCCAGCTGAAGTTTATCGTCCTACAAACACATTCAAACCACACGAGAATCAATGCATCCTCCATCCTTCACACTGTGCTGTGAATCTGTCACTTTAATGCTCTTTACCAATCTACGGTACTTATCAAAAGTTTAAGGTCAGTACGATTTTTTTAAATTAAACTAATATTTTATTCAGCAAAGATGCATTAAATCGATCAAAACTGACAGTAAAGACATTTATATGTGGTAAAAAAAAAAGAGATTTATATTTCAAATAAATGCTGTTTTTTGAACTTCCTGAAATGTATCCCAGTATCCACAAAAATATTAAGGAGGCTACAACTGTTTTCAACTGATAATAAGTTATCAAGTTTTGCTTTATGCTTTATAAATTTATATTCTTTTCTTTTCTTTTTATTATTTTTATCTTTTGAGCTTTTATTTATTTTATTTCAGTTTTAGTAATTTTAGTATTTCAACTTAGTTAGCTGCCAAGGCAACATTTCTTTCTCTTACAGTTTCATCTAATATTGATATTTTAATTCAGTTTTATTTCAATTAACAAAAATTATTTCATATTATTTTTAGTTTTAGTAAACAATAACTGAAATTTGATATAGGGCAGGTAACATTTTCAACACTGATAATAATAAAAAAAGTGTTTGACGCCCTTTCCTAAAACCGAAGACTGGACCAGAGCTGAGAATCCATCAGCCTGGATCAACAACAAACATCCATCAAAATGGACCAATCTTGTCATGACATTCACGTGAATGTGCCCATTTTCTAAATCTGACACATAAATCTCTAATCAAGAGAAAATGAGCAAATCTGCCTCATATCAATTTTTTTGTAGCCTGAAGTACAAAATAAACACATCTTATGCTTACGAACCTGATCCAAATCAGATCAAATCTGTTTTTTGCAACATGTCTTAGTCGGAATGGTCAGATGTAACATCAAAATGTCTCACCTCATTTTCCCTGGAGGGGGAGAGCTGGCCTTGGGACCCTGTGCTGCCTGAGTTGTGCAACATCTTCACCTGACACTTCACGTCTCGTTCATAAACCTCCTTATACTGCGTCAGAAACCTGCGGCACAGGAATATTTTCATGGCGGCTGAGCGCAACCAAGACCCGAGACTCAGTAACACACCAAACATCAAAGCTTGGCTCCTGTACTTACTGATCAGCGTCTGTTTTTGAACCTATGAGGAATCTACAAACCACAGAGAAAATACAAGGTCAGGTAAGTGCAACAATTAGGCAAGTGTAACTAATAACACTTTACTCTCATCTTAGAGTGTAATATAAATGTGAAATAAGAATTCTAAAATGTCATCAGTTATTTCTTACGGTGGGTGAATGAGGTGCAGGTCTGTCACATCCTCCTCTGATTTGGAGTCTTTGGTGCAGAAGATTTTCCCAAATACCAGCGGGTCCCCCTTAGACTGGAAAATAGTGACTTTTGTTCTTTGAGGCTGACCTCCTACCTCACACTCGAAAATGTAGTCGTCCCTCACGTCCTGTTATGAAACAAAGACCGCAGATCACACCGATAAAACAACCAAGCTCCATGTGCAGTCTAGTTAGTATGTAAGATTTACACAATTGTGTTACCTGTGCAGGCCAAACAGTGGGCTGAGTGTCATCTAGTTTGACAGACTTCTCTGCCACTGCATATTTCTCCACCTGGAAGCAGAAAGAAAAACTTACTTTCATAGACTTGGATACAGGGAGAAATAAATGTCGAAACACACCATCTCAGAACACAAGAACGTGAAATTTACCTTAACAATACTTTAAACTCAGTTCTTTTTTTTTTTTTTAAGTAATTTCTGTTATAAATGGTTTAGGACCTACAGAAAAGAGAGAGATGCTACTTGTATGTTCGTTTAACTGCATTACAGCAACTCACATCAATTTCTGATGGGACAGTCAGCTGACAACTGCTCTGTTTCCACATGTCCACACACTGAAGGAAAAACAAGAGTGATTTAAACACAGAAAACACCCACACAAGTCATAAAGAAGTATAGTATAGTATATATTTATTTAATGCCATGTCAGCATCTAAGGCTATTTTCATGGCAAAAACAATTAAAGATATAAAAAAAAAAAGATATAATAAACACTTTAAATGGGACACTTGATTAATACAGTACTGTTCAAAACTTTAATTGGTAAGATTTTCTCTTATACTTAAGGCTGCATTTATCTGTTATATTTAGGGTTGGGCCGATAGACGATGCCATCGTCCATCGCCGATGGCTGATAGACATCACAATGTTGAGCTGGCATCGCAATTCCCTAAAGGGAATAAATATGCGATGGGAGGAAAATATATATATTTCAGTATTTTCTCTCGCCGTTATATCACTGGGCAATTATACTGTATATAAATTACGGGCATCAGGGAGTCGCTATTATACCTGGCATTGAAACTGCTTCTGAATGCGCGATCGCTTTTTAGTTTCACTTTCGAGATTCGCAATTGCACGTAGTCCGTTTATACTATGGAGCGGAAGTACTTACCACACATTTTACAAGATTATATGTTTGTCAGTGGTGCTCAGGATCTGCAAATCATTCGCCATCATCCCCAGTCATCTCCCCTTACTGTGTTTATGTGGTAACTGAAATTTTATGTACTGTATGCTGAAAATTCAGCTTTGACATCACAGGAAAAAATGTACATTTTACAAATATATTAAAATAGAAAAGTTATTTTAAATTGTAACAATGTGTCACAATATTACGGTTTTTACTGTACTTTTGATCCAATACTTGCAGCCTTGATGTGCATAAGAGACTTCTGTCAAAAACATTAAAATAATTTTACTGACCTCAAAGTTTTGAATGTTAACCTCACCTGTGTCCACTTGTGGTGATCACTTGTCATAGCATGAACGTCACAGATCAGGGTCTGGTGTGGAGAAAATAGATGACTTAAAGATACTATAGAAAAAAATACAGAACAGGGACTGCTGGTCACAGATCAGGTTTGTTACTGACCTGCATAGTGGGTCTCAGCAGGATGTGCCGGCTCTGGTAGGTGGGCATCTTTGCATTTCCAGACTGTCGGTAGTCCCTGACCTCAGCTATGACACAGCCACAGTGGAATATGTTCACCTGACAGAACAGAAGCGGGAAAACAAATCTAAGCTGGTGGTTTATGCATCAGTTCGTCAGAGTGCTATAAAACTATTCTGACTGGAATTAAAGAAACATGTAGGTTAATTAAATTAAAATCACATCTAGAATCAATTCTGAACCAGTATTATTTATGTTTTATATAGTGCTTACTAATATTTTGAATTAGCTTTTATTTTTATATTTTCAGTTAATTTTAGTTTTAGCTATTTGCTATGTGGTTTTGTCATTATTTTTAATATTCCTACGTAGCTTTATTTTATTTAGTACATATTTATTTTAGTTTTAGGAATTGAACATTTCAGTCACTTGTCAAGGCAACATTTCTCATTTTCGGTTAAGTATAGGCTATATATTTTATTTCATCTTTACCGAAAAACAATTTAATAACAGTTTTAGTTTCAGTTAACAATAACACTGTTGTTCTGAACATGATTTAGGGCAGGCTGTGTTTATATATAATAAAATGTAAATATTTGACTATGTTAATGTAAAAAATATATATATAAAATGTCATGAATAGCAGAAATTAGAAAAATAATGAAATTAAAAAAAAAACATTAAGAGACTACACATAAAAAAATGTACATGCCACTAACCTGCGATTTTTCTAGAAGGTCTACAAGAATGGGCGGCAGCTCCTCGGCATCCAGGTACTCCAGTAACTCTGTTTCTTCATAGCGAAGTCGGATTGTTTCTGAATCTTATAGGTTGGGACGAGTTCATTAACATGCAACATGAAAAGCTCAGCTGATTTAACCATAAAAACAAATAAAAAGCAGACAGTACCAGATCCATTTTTTCCTCTAAGCATAAGTGAGTATCCTTCATTTCCAGGGTACAGGTTGACCACCAGACATGAGACTGACTCCTGTGAGACCAGCTTCTCTAGTAGATTCACATTTCTCCTCAGTTTCTACAGAAAGAGGGCAGAACGGAGAATAAATACACACAATACAATATTAATAAAACATGATTTGATAGAGTTATAAAATCCCACCCAACTTAATGTCTTGTTTCAAGAAGAATGGTTGTGAATGCTACTTCATTTTTTATGTTACAGCAGCTGATAATTACCTTCAACTCTGGTTCTTTTTCACACTGTTCAATGTACAATTCATAAAGTTTCTGATATAAGGATTTCCTTCCACTCGAGGATACTCGTCTCTTCGCTGGTTGCTGACGAGCACTTTCAACAATGTACTAAACAAGAAATAACAATGTTATTGAACAGTAATAGAATATACACACACAGCTATTCTTCTCCACAGTGATTTCTCAGTTTGCATTTATGAAACTGCAGCAGTAAAATAACAGTGCATTATAATAGACACAAGTAAACACCACTACGTACAATAAATAAAAAGTACAGCTTAAATTAAAACAGAAATAAGTTCGAACAAATACCTCAGCCCGATCCAATGCATATTCTAAGACTTGTTGCTATGGAAGAAAGAAAATTAAAATGCATTAGATAATCTCTTGTACAAGTCAAATATTATCAAATCCATCACATAATGTTAGCAATCCTGTTAAAAAAGCATCATTGAATCAAATCTGTAGTTCTTACCATTGTGGTTGCTGCGTGACAGGAGGCGATGTTGTGTTACACCAGCACTGTCACCTCCACAAACACACCATTCAAGCCCTGAGATCAGAGAGAGAGAGAGTTCAGAAACACACTACCACCTGTCAGCTGACAGTTTCCATTCAAAACTCAAACCCAGACACCCAACGACAAGTGTGTGAATGCGAATACACAACGTATGAGACATGAACTCAGCTCATTAAGACTGTTATGCATCTGTGTGTGTGTGTGTGTGTGTGTGTGTGTATGCACTCACAACATCTGGCAAACAAATGTGGCGAACTTCAACACGATGATGACAAAGTATGTGTTAAAGGATGCAATAGCAATGAACAGCATGCATTCATGAAATGCGAAGGAATATGTTCCCAGCAGAAGAAGGCAAACTTCAGCACTGCAGCTCCAGCAAACGACAGGCTGGCTAACCACAGCTAACAGCTCACTTCAAATGCACAAATCCACAAAACACGACCGACTGACAGAGCGGGGCAGAACGTGACAATGGCGACAAACATCAAAACCGACTTGCCAATCGAGTTGCATCACCACAGGCAGGAAATCCAAAGCAAGAAGCGGAATAAATATTTCAGTGCCTTCAATGAAAAAAACTCACAGCAGCCATTTTGTTCCAGTGTAACAACAAAATCCAAACTTCCGGTGTGCGCGCGTGCTGGAGGCGGAACCAAAGATCTGCGACGCGGAGGGAGCCGCTCAAAAACGACATTTCTCTTCATGATATATCGCACGATGCAAATCTCAAAAAAATCACTATGCTAGCCATAGTTTCCACCAAAATACCGTAGTTACTTCAGATATTGTTACTACATTTAATCTGTGGCAACTTGGTTTCAGCCACCAATGTTATTAACAAAACAAAATGACAAACTTTTTGTGGGGGATCAGTAACAAATGTTTTTACAGTAAAAATATGGTAAGCTGCAGTGTTTATCTTAGAAATAAATCAGCAAATCAATTTAAATTATCTACAATAAATAATACATTATAATTAATATCAATAATTTTATTAATATTATTTTTTTGTACAGGTGGGTATAATTTTGACAATGTTTCCTTTGTATAATTTACTGGAAGTTACCAAATAGGAATATAAATTGAATACAAACAGAAATAGGAAGCATAAAGGCAAAAAAGTATGATTATCATCAGAGACTAGGAAGCAAGAGATTTTTAGTGGAGAATTAATTTTCAGGTCAGAAAGGGCCTAGAAATACAATAAATGCAACCTCTTATGTTCTAGTTTAAACCAAATAATTTTGCTATGTATTCGTGTATATATTTTGATTAGGACCACTTGTATTGATACAGTAACATTTTTTAAGGTGACAGTTACTAGTACTTAACAGTAAATTATGCATAATTACAACCAATCCTAAACCAAACCCGAACACTGAACGTAACCTTATAGTAAGTACATAAATGTGTAATTACACTGCCACAATGTCACTTTAAATTAAAGTGTAACCCTTTTATCTTTCCAGTTTTTCAGCAAGTCATTTATAATGCTGACGAGCAATTTTTTATTTTTATTTTTTGCTTTAAGATGAGATAATCAGTTCAAAACGAACCAGTAAATGAAAAGAATCACACAGAGTTTTAGGAAAAATATTTTTATTAATTCATTCCCTAAAAAGAAAATGTACACATCACTCCAAACAAAAGCATCCAGAAATCTTCTAAACTGATGGAAAGATCCACTAACAAACAGTATTGCATAAACCACTTGAATGTCACAACACAATTAAAAAAAAATAAAATAAAATTTAAAAAGGAAAATAAGACAAGCAACGAATAAACATATAAGAGAAAATGAATAAGACATCAATGACACCAGCATAATCAAGTGAACATTTTAACACATGGCCTACCTCTGCAACACAGTCGAGACAAACATGAAACTCATCCAACTCATGTAGTTCATTCAGTATTTCCACAGCAGTGTGCTTCATTATTTCAGTAACTCCAACCTCCTGTATGTCAAAACACAGAATGAACCATAAACGAAAAATGTAAACGTTTTACAAGAAGGTCAGACACATATTGCTTCTTTTACAGAATTTAACCATTATTTCTAGTTTGCTGACTTGACCTCAGAGCATAACCAGAATGACAAAATACACTCATACAAAATAAAATACTCTTAGAAACCCCAGAGGGGTCAGTCGAATATGTCTCTCTTACAAAGAGAACAGAATTGAGAATTCCTAGCTGATTTCTTAAAACATTTTGTTTAAGATTCTAGAGATACTGTAATAGACTTCGTAGAACCATAATAATAGACACTTAACCATGCACACACACATCAGGGCAGCAGGTGGACAGGATTCTCTGAATGTCCACCAGATGGCAACACAGTCTGTTCTGAAATCAAGGCAGCTGGGTAAAGGCTCACTTTGCACTTTTCAATTTATGCACGGACCCTAAATACAAGAAACCATACTATAACAGCACAAGAAAACAACCTCTACACACTACAGAAAAGAAAACCACACATTACAAAAGCTAATTTACTTCGAAATATTTGTAACAAGCAAATAATTGTCCTAACAAAATAAATACTGAATAGTTACCATGAGGTAACAAAGGCTTTGGTTGAACATTCCCATCTCTCCAATATTAATCCCAGCACCGAGTTAAGCCTAAATCAAAGTTAGGCCTGTGCTTAACATTTGTGAAAATCAAAATGTTGTGATTGGGGGGAAAAGCACCTATGAAATGTCAGAACACAGTTTTAAGAGTGCAATAACAAAAGAAATGTAAACTTCCACTAAAGCGCTTATGCTGAACTTCAGCACAACAGGAGAAATATGCCTGCTTAGAGTAATGGAACAACTACCGTCATTAACAAGTTCCACTGCAATGAGCAGAGGGAGGGAAAAACTGTTAACTAAGCAACAGTTACCACAGCAACACCACAACCAATCAGCAAGCCTGAACGTGCAGGAGGAACACTGTCAGACTCATCCAAGCCTATTAACCACCCAACATGATCAAGTGTAGAGAGTAAACAGTGATATGAAGAATAAAAACGAACGTGTATGAATGGAACCACAAAAGAATTAAAATGAGTATTTGTAAGGTTTTAAAACCACCTCATTCTGCATAGAAACACTTTTGGACACTTTCGCTTTCAAAGTCCAGTTTTTGCTGAAAATTCAGACGCCACCTTTTAGAGCGAGGCGACTTTAACCTCGTTAGCACAGCGTTGTGCGTTTCCGGTCCGCTTGAGCTTCCATGAGACTCTGCTTGAAGCCAAGCTTTCTTTCTGGTCTTTCCCCAAAAAGCGCTCATTCCACTGGGTTGTTGCCAGCTTTGACCCCTGCTCGCCCGATCTGGAGCCACGGCAGCTTGGCGCAGTTTTTAAAGAGCTGCTCGATGGCTATGTGCCGTACATGAAGCTCTGAAGAAAGAGAGTCCTTCTCCTGCACAGCTACAGACAGCTCCTCAAACACATCTGAGGGACAAACACAGAGTCTGTGCGTTAGTACACAAGAATAATGATAACCTACATAAGAAACGTGAAATATGCATAAGTGGGGCTCAACATAAGGATGGCCAGCTGGCCAAAGAGTAGATCTGTTGCTTGTCCTATATCTTACATTTTGATAATGTACATGCACTTTCATGTCTCATAAATGTAAACATTTGGTTTTCTGTGACATTTGGTTGCAAAGAGTCTTTTTAAACTGGCTGATTTGGACAGAGGTTTTATTGAAGTTACAAGACTTGTTGGCATCAGTAAGAATGGGATGAAAATTACACATCATTCACTATGTAGGCCCTTATTTCCCAGAAAAAGTGTTAATGAATATATGGAATATCTTGTATAAAATTACTGAAAATGATCTTTGTGAGGAAAATGTTAAATAACTAAAAAAAACAACAACAACAAAAAACACCTAACATGTAAAATGTAATGTTTTTATTAATTTATATTAAATTAAATAATTAATTTATAAAATAAGAAAACGACAAAATGAAAAATGTAATGTAAACTGAAATAAAAATGGTAAAATATTGTAAAAAAACAACAACAAAAAACACAAGAGACAAATAAACAAATTATGACATAAATAAGGACGTTTATAAGTAAATAAAAAAAATGTATACATAAAACGTAAATGCAAATAAATATTGAAAAGTAAATGTAAATGCTGAAATTTAAAATGTAAATAATGAAATGAAGCTAAATATTAAAATGAGTTAAAAATTCACTCATTCATGTGTTGGGGGCCCAAATAAAATGTTGGCAGGGTAAGTACAAACTGGGCCAGCAGAAAGCTTTTCTGTAACTTTAATGAGATTAATAATTTATCTACCACATAATTTTTGGTTGTGATATTCCAAATTTGGCAGAGGAAATATGGTATATCACAAAAACAAAAAAACACACATCAGTTTCATTTATTATTAATATCGAGTGACTCTTCGCCCCAGAATGTGTTTGGGTTCAAAGGAGTAGTTCACCTAAAACAGAAAACGGTCATATTTTTTTCTTATTTTTGGGTGAAATATCCCTTTAAGTTTAAAGATGAGACTCACTTTGTATTTGTAGCAGTAGCTGCTCGTTCAGCTGGCGAAGCTCCTCCACACTCATCCTCACCACTGAAAGAGAAAGACAAACAAACACTGTCACTTTTCAATAAAGTGAAAACTGACAAACACATCTTTCACAGCTGAAAGCAGATGCCTTCATAACAGTCCATGAGATGCATTCTTCTCAGAACAGCACATGGTGTGACCCTGATGACATATCTGTTTTTAACAGAAGCCATTTCATTGGGTGAGATAAGGAGACGGACATTGAAGAACGGTGAGAGAAATTCAAGTCTAGATTGACCTCAACCTCTTATTGGTGCTTTGTGGACTATATTGACGGGAAAGATGCAGAGATACAAAGCGAAAGATAAAACCCTAATGGAAACGATATCGATTTCCGTCCTTCACTTTGTCTTAAGATGCTACTGTGGGAATTCAACTGAGCCCAAAAACATTCAAAATGCTGCGTCATTTATAATACCAACACAATCAAAGCAAATAATACCATTCAAGGTTTGGGGTCAGTAAGATTTCTTAAATGTTTTTGAACAAAGCCACTTGTGCTCACCAAGGCTGCATTTATTTGATAAAAAATATAGTAAAAACAGTAATATTGTGAAATATTATTACAATTTAAGGTGTAATAATTTAACTGTTTTCTCTTTGAATATATTTTCAAATGTAATTTATTCCTGTGATGGCAAAGCAGAATTTTTAGCAGCCATTACTCCTGTCTTCAGTGTCACATGATCCTTCAGAAATCATTCTAATATACTATTTAGAGCTCAAGAAACATTTTTAATATCATTAATGTTAAAAACAGTTGTGCTGCTTGATATTTTTGAAGAAACTGTGATTGAGTTTCAGGATTCTTTGATGAAAGAAGAACAGAATTTATTAGAAATAAAAAATATTTTGTAACATTAGTGTCGTTACCGTCACTTTTAATCACTTTAATGATTAAAACATTAAATTTCTTTAAAAACAACAACACACTGACCCCACACTTTTGAGTGCTAATGTATAGCATGAATACTCACGCTCTTCTCGACTGTGTCTCCTCTGTCTGGCTGTGTCTCTCTGCTGTTCTCGTGGGTGGTGTCTCTCTCCAGCCCACAGTCCCTGGCGTGATCCCTGCAGCAGGCCGAGACCGAGCTCCTCGGCAGAGTGACAGTCCAGCATGGTTTTCCCATACTCTGACTCTGCCATCGTCGCCTCTTCCGCCCATCGTGGGGCGTAACGGGGAACCTGGGCATCGGACTGGGGCACGAGTTTCCTGCCGCCCAGCTGAGTGTGACACAGAATCTGTTTGGCCCCCCAGCGCCCGGGTGTCTCAGCAGTTACGGAGTCTCTGTTCTGGGCATACTGTATAATGCGGTTGATTCGCTGGCTCAGAGCCCGCTTCACACCCTCGTACGCGCTGTGGGAGGCCTTGGCGCGGGAGAGCTTCTGGTTGGCGATGAGATGGTACTTTTCAAAGCAGTCTCTATGTCCACGTAGAGATTTGGAGTGCAGCAGGGTGGCGCTGCATACACCTGTTATAAAACACAAAGGAGGATATTTGCAATTCACTGTTAAGAGCCAAACATGGTAAAAATGCTATCAAATGCAATAAAAGGTCAAAGGTCAAGATGCAAGTGGTATTGCATATGACTACCAAGACCATGAAAAGTGAAATGGTTTGTATGATTAAAACGGTGATTATTTGTGTTTGCAGGCATGTGTGAGACACAAAGACATAAATAATGGCTCAGTACAACCACAAAACTATGCAGAATCGACTGAGTGACCTAAATAAATATATCATCTAAAAGATTACATAAAATATCCTAAACTGACATTTATTTAGGAATTAAGTGAAATCTCTTAACAGCTTCCAGAATATGAAAAATGAGGAAAGCTCATACACTGGCTTTCATTTGTTTCTCACGATTCTTTAAATAGGAGCAAAGAAATGAAAGACTATTTATACTGTCGTTAGGGGAGAGTGAGTGTGCCACATTTTACTTCATCCTTTAGGGCAGGGAGAAATGAGGCAGCTTAAATTAATACGCCTAAATATATTTCAGGATGTCTGCTATTAAATAAAATGAGAAGGAGACGAAGACTAATATTCTACCAATTAATTTACAATATTTATATACTTTGTTTGGGCTCGAGGTATTAAAGATTTTTTCAATTTGATAAAAATACAGTTAAAACAGCAATATTATGAAATATTATTGCAAATGAAAACAACTGTTCTCTATTTTAATATATTTTAAAATGTCTTTTATTTTTGTGATGGCAGAGCAAAATATTCCACAATCATTACTCCAGTGTTATATGATCCTTTAGAAATCGTTCTAATATGCTGATTTAGTGTTGTTATTATTATCAATGTCACAGTTGTGCTGCTTAATATTTTTGTGGAAACCGATTTTTTTGTCAGGATTTTTTGATGAGTAGAAAGTTTAAAACAACAGCATTTATTTGAAATAATATTTTGTAACATTATCTTACTGACCCCAAACTTCTGAATGGTAGTGTACACACTGGCACCAATGTTTTTAAATTTGGATAAATTTGCCTTGACAAAATACATTTTACATGCAATAAGTGTATAAATGTATAAAATGTACTTTTAAATGCTAAAAATTATCAAAAATGGTCTTCTTCAGTAGTATATAATGGGCCACATGACATGTGACCCATCTTTCTTAACCAACTCTCCCTTACAAATTTAATCTGATCCAAGATCAGCTTTCCATCCTTAATTAGTCCTTCAACCCCTAACAACACTGAAAAACTGAACTCTGACGAGCTTTGAACAGCTGCAACTACAAATCACTCCATCTCTGAGCGAATCAGCACATGAAAACATCACTTCCTGTTTTGGGTCCTTGTTGAGCAGATTAAAAACATCTTTGCCTGTAACTCAAACTAGGCCAAGAACAAATAAAACACACAGGCATAGAACAAGTGCTGCTGGGTGCCTTTGTGTGTTGGTTTTGCATTAGGATGTGCCATTTATGTCGGAGCTCAGTTTTGTTCAAACATGTTTTGAGTTCTAATCATGCCACACAGCAACCAGCATCAGAGAGAGAGAGAGCGAGAGCTCGAGAGCGAGAGAGAGAGAAAGAGACTCATTTGCTCTTAAAAGGAAAAACTGAAAATTCTGCCATTATTTACTCTCTCTCATGTTAGTGGTGCAACGGATCACAAAACTCACGGTTCGGATCATATTACGGATTTTGAGTCACGGATTGGATCATTTTTCGGATCAGCAAAAAAATAAAATACATAATTTTGTGAAAGCTTACTTTAAAGGTGACATATCATGAAAATCTGACTTTTCCAGGTTTTAAGTGCTATAATCAGGTCCCCGGTGCATCTACCAACCAAGGAAACGTGAGAAAGATTAACCCAGTAACTTTGTTTTGGCAAGCCTTTTTCTGAGAAAACAAGCGCGGCTGATTTCGCTCCCTTAGTGATGTGGCAAAGGGATCTCATTATAATATTACCGGCCCTTAATCTGTAAGTTTACACCCACGGTGCCGTTATTGTGTTTTCGCAAGCGACAGCGGTGTATTAGTTCTAATGCCATAGCGAAAGTTTGAGCAAAACATGCTAACTGTTCTGTCTTTGGCTGCACAGACGAGCACAGAACACTATTTAGAGTCCCACCCTCAGAGGAGACAATAGAGCAGTGGATTTATTTACTGTATATTGCTGCTGCCACACAGATCTAAAATAAACATGCGATTTATTTCCCAGCTGTTTACCTTCAGACATAACCGACTGTTTTTGTAACTCACGTGTGTTTTTAACATAAACTTGTGTGTGAATGAGAACTTAGTTTACTACTCACATGCTGTGACAGCCACTTTCTGTACGTGTGCTTCGGATGTGTGCTCTCAGAAAACCGTATATCAGAAGTTAAAACTCATATGGTTTAAAACGCATGATTTCAGCGCGATAAACATGATAATCAGAACCAAAACAGATGTTTTTTAGCAGGTACGAGCTGTAATGGCCAGCTCTATTCTGGAAAAGGGG